GTTTAATCTTGTGGAATATCGATTATTCTCAGAATCCATGTTCGTCGGGTCCTTGTCAGGGTAGAGAGATCTGCCGACCTGATTTTGGCTGGAATTCATTCTCTTGCTCTTCAGGTATAAACTCATGATTGATTTGGGCTTCCTGTATGTCAAATCACGTTTCACAGCATRGCGGATACAGAAAGTTGCAAARGGGGGATGACTAAGGGGGCTTTCATTTATTAGCCCATAGTATAACATGCTGGGGGTGGYTATATAATGTTTTCAGACAGATGTATAAAATTTTGAAAGCTATTAAATCAAAAGCCCCATAACTCAAGAAAAAGTAGCGAGGTGAAAGAGTTCCTTTTAATTTGTTTATATCACAATTTTGGAATCCTAAACAGGGGGTAGCTAGCCAGCTTGATTACTCCCTCTGGATCTTCCCTTGCACAGGTCCCCCCMTCAATTTAGTCCCTTTTCCATTCATTTCGAGCAATTTTGGGKACAGAGATTGCCTCAAACACCAAATATTAACAAAGAAATGACTCGACTAAAAACAGCTGTATAGCATTTTAAATAAAGACATGATGATGATGGTGATGATGGTGATGATAATGGTGATGATGATGATCATCATCATCATCATCATAGATCATACATTTTTCTGGTTACTCCGTCTTTAGACAATGATTAGGAAAAACCACAGCATACWTTTTCTTTTAGATGGGATGTGGTCTTTTTGGGGATCATGGCAAAGCTGTTCGTGTGGCGATTCCCATCGTAATCGTACCTGCCTGTCTGGAAATGGCTGCTCTGGAAATGACTATGAAAAGAAGCAATGCAGAATGGGAATAGGTATACCGCTGACATTTGATCTTTTATTTTTGTCGAATTAAAGCTTAGTTTACAATAGCAATTTTTTCGCATGAAATGTGCAGCGATTTGATTATTTCAATAAAAGGACTGCGATTTTGCGGCGTTTTGCCCTAAACCCAAATCACGTATGTGAACAGCCAGAAAACATGCCTGAAATAATAGTATCTTTGCGGTTTTGACTTGAAATTTGCCCGTGAGTGTGCAGACTGCTGCTTAGACGTGCGATAAAATCGCCGCAATAATCGCACCATTTCGTGCGACAAAGTTGCAATGWAAACAGGTCATTAATAGTGATTTATCCCATCGCCCGTGCACCTAGAACCATCTTTCCATTTCTTTATAACCATTGGTTTAAATCCATCTCATTTGCTTATTATATTTGTTTATTTATTTCATAATCAGAATACCCCATTGTTAAAACTAAAGAAGGCAAACAATGCACATTTCCATTCAACTACGAAGGACGATGTTTCGACGCCTGCACAAAGTATGACTGGGATTTGCTCTGGTGCTCGTACGATACAGAGTATAGTGGAAAWTGGGGAYATTGTGTTTAGATGGCTTAGCTGCAGGCTTTGATACTTCACTAATTCCTAAACAACACACGATGCACCAGCAAATAATTGTTTTTGCGGTTTAACAGCACAGCTYAATACACTTGCGTTTATCGAGAAAAAATCGAATGCTAATAAAAGTAACTAAAAGAATTATGAATCTCGTTTTTGGGTCTCAGCGCGGATTCGCATCCCCAAAACCACCCACCACTAGGTAGATCCGTCACTGGAGAAGCCTCATTAGTCTCATGAAGATTACCTGGTTGTCTATCAATCTATACTGCAAACGGGAAGGAAGGAGAGCAAATACTCATTTAACTATTCTTCAAATGTATTACTGTTCTCGCAACCCATGGAAATATCGCAACGAAAAAAATCAATTTTTTTTAACTTTCTCAAGACATCCTCTTAAAATCTACACCTTATTTATTAAGACAATAAGGGTCCAAAACAATACCATTGCGAATTGGCTGGGCTTCCTGTGGCTCTTACTTTGCTTTTTTATACAAGTGGTTGGGCTTCCTGTGGCAAAATTTTTGCAAGTTTTTTTTTTCTTTGCCTCGCACTGCTTTACAAAATTCCTTCAAATATGCTAAATGTGGCTATTATCTCGATGTGGCTTTTACTCTTCTGACCTGAAAAAGTATTCTTTATGAAGCTGATTTCGACAAAATGAGAAACGTCAAGTTTTGAATTCTAGTCTCGATTTGTGATTGGCGGTGAACGAAGATCGCGCGACATTTTCCACAACGGACTGAAATGCTATAGCAAACCAAAAATGAAGTTCTGTGCTGTCATTTTGTTGTCTGTTATAATACAATTGTCTCTGAAACCTTATCGGGTTCAGTCGTGGTTCAGTAGAAGAAGACGATC